ATGCCACCTCAAGTTTTTAGTGTCTTTCGGTATTGAGAACAGACGCTTAAACCATGGAATAATGGGAAGATACCACAACACCTTAGCAGGAGGTCCCTCCGTGCCAAGATTGCAACTCATGCGCTTGTAGCGCGACCGCTTGCATCGTGGACACTCCTGCAGTTTGTTCATACTCATTTCAATACAGAATACAGTCATTAGGACATGCATGTATCTTCTTATACTCCAAACCAAAGGGACACATGAGCTTCTTTGCGTAATAGTAAGACTTAGGAATTTCATTCCCATCAGGCAACATATCACTTAATGCGGTCAACAAAGAAGTAAAACTAATGTCCGTCCACCCATGCTTCGACTTAATGTTGAAAAGTGTTAGCACGGCCGATAGTTTGGAGTATTTTTTGCACCCGGGATACAAACGCTTTTTGGAAGCCTCCGATAATAACTCAAACACTCCACCTTCAATACCATGCAACATCTTATCAACTTGTTCATCCTCGACCTCATCCACCTGATCATCATCGGCTTCATCCTCACCATTATCAACAATATAGTCATCATTCATGTATTCCTCGTCCACATGAATCTCATTGCTTCTAACACACACATCATTCTGATCAAGATCCCCACTGTACTCTCCACTTTCTCCGTGCCAAATCCACACATGGTATAAATGCCTAAACCCACGACATAATACATGATCTCTAATGATTTCAACACTATCGACCACATTCACATTATTACAATCAACACAAGACAATAAAGGTCTTTGCCACCCAATTTGCGTTGATAAGCTAAAGCCCTCTCGCAAAACTCTTGAACCCCATTCCAAAATTCCAATGTATCGCGCCTACCATACATCCAACCACGATCCTTCTCCATTTAGTAAATTGTCTCTAAACATATATAGCAATATATAATGAATAATGTGTAATTGCTACATATTTTATGTAAATCAAATTCAAGTACAAAATGTGAATATACCATTCATATAGTGAAAAAATGCATGTTTCCAAAGGGTCCTTATCACTCCAACCTAACCCATCCTTGAATGTCTACTCTCGCTAGTGAATGTATGTCAACTTTCCAATTTAAAGGAAAATTCGGCAGCATTTCCCCCTAATTCTCCAAGTACACGATGCAGATAATTAATTACCCACATATATACCTAGAGAACATAGTGAGGAAATGGTAAGCCAAGATATTCCTTAAAATAGAAAAGAAAACATACATTCACCACCTAAGTGAGAATACACATTCAAGAACAGTCCCAACCGGGGACTATTCAAGACTTTCTCCTAATGAGAAAGCCTTGAACGGGTATCTAGGAATATGATGATGCAAGTATTCTATATATTGTTGTATTTATTTGCAATTAAACAATACACAAATTGCAATTTCATGAATAAACTTTTATTAAATGGATAAATAGAAAGAAATATAGCTAAGTAAAGTTTATAAGTCATACCAATATAGCAATTACCCACTTGAGCTCAATATGTAGTCCTCAAGCTAAACTCGTGCTTCAATTCACATATGAATCTATATATTAAAAAAAAAAACAAAAAACAAAAATTAGGTTAAATATTATGTATGTACTTCTCATAACATGTCAATTCACTAATTTATTTCTAAGCTAAAACACATCATTCATCGAACTAACAATTGCTAAACTATGTATTCACTACTTTGTTCAAAATTCATTTTATTTATTCAAAATTGCTAAACTAGAAAGGTTACTAATCTCTAATTTTTTTCATTTTATTTATTCAAAATTGCTAAACTAAAAAGGTTACTAATCTCTAACCATTATAACAAACCAAATTTCAACTAATTAAGTAACAAGGCTAATATTCTCTACTTTATTCAAAATTACACATCAAAACAAATTAAATTAACCATTAAAACATACTAATATCCAACTAAATGAGTAACAAGGTTACTAATTTCTAATATTTTCACAATTTCCCAATAAAAAAACCAATAATTGAAACAAATTGAAGTAAAATTATATTCTAACCTAAATTTTAATTTTCCTAACAATTCTTCAACATGCAAATCAAATTAATATAAGTACATAAATGGAAAATTATTGTGAATAAAGAAAAAAAATTAATACCTAAAACACTCAAATTATTGTAGTTTAATGTAGCTTGAAGGGAGGAGAGATGGAGTAGCTTCCGTGGTCAGTGGTGCGGTGGTGCGGCGACAACCTTCAGGGCGGTGGTGCGGCGGCGACCTTCAGGGCGGTGGTGCGGCGGCGACCTTCAGGGCGGTGGCGCGGGGAACGAAGTGATGAGGTCGATGGAGGGGGTTGAGCTGAGGGGAGAAACAGCACCGCAGGGGAGAAAGAGAAGGCCAGGGGAGAAAGAGAAGGGCAGGGGTGGCGGCGGTGATGGTGGCCGGCGACGGTGGCGGCAAGAGTGCAGGTGAGGTGAGGGGTTTCGCAGGTGAGGGCTTGCAGGAATCGAACAGTGAAGAGAGAAGAGAACAGTGAAGCAGCCAAAATGAATAAAAGAGAAAGAGAAGGAAGAAGGAAAGAGGCGGGGTTTTTTTTAAAAAAAAATGGCACCGATTCAGTGGCACCGGTTCAAACCGGTGCCCTTTGCATTTTTGGCACCGGTTTTGGCTGAACCGGTGCCTTTTCTATTTGTAGAAAATTGCGCCCAATTTTAGGCCAGTTTTTTACATCGGTTTGGCTTGAACTGGTGCCTTTATGGGGATGCCTTTTTTGTATTTTTCTACTAGTGTTCCTTTTTATTTATTATTATGCGCAGGAATTCCGCCACCTTTGAGTGGTTTTGTCGCTGGCACGGTTAGCTCCCGTGTCAGTTAACCTCAATTTATTTGTGGGAGGTATAGTTGGAAACCCGTTCGATGCGTGATCAACGCTAAATGAATTATTTAGTGTCTAGTTAAAGTGTTGTTGATTTTTGTGTGTGCTTGTAAACAGGTGCATTGAGGTAAGTGTGTGCTGATAGGTGAAAGCATGTTAGTGTGTTTAATTACGCTTATGTACTCAGCTTTGCTGATTGTATGTATTTATGTGTTTGGCCATGTCTTTACTTTGGCCCTACGACGACCCATTTTCTAATGGCGAGTAGTGGGGACAAGTAGAGAGGAGGTTTTCAGGTGATGAAAAATATTCATGAATGGGCATGAGTGAAGAGCGAATCATGCTAGTTTCTATAAGTATATGATGTGTTTAATGCTTTAATTATTTATGATATTATTATCATGCATGACTAACGCAAAAGTTTTAAAGTTGTTTTGGTTTTAATAAGGGCCTACAATGGTTCCAAGTTGTAGGATGGTTTTATTTTACTTCGTTTGACTTTGGTTTTAACTTTACTTTTGTTGGTTGACTTTTCAAGTTGACTTGTTTTGAATGGTTTTGAAATTAGTCTTCCGCTGTGTGTCTTTGATGGTTGCCTTAGCCGTTTTCACGGTGGCGGTAATATCTTAGAATATTCCTATTTAAATTTTTTAATAGGGCAAAACAGGTATTTTAAAAGAAAGGAATTTCTAGGGTGTTACAATTTTCACATACAAAGTGGGTTCATTTTCACTCCTAACAAACCCATGCTGCAAAAAATAAGAGTCAATTCTCATGTACCATGCTCTGAAACAGGCTTGGGCCACACCCGTCACAATTGTCCACTTTATACAACCAAAGAAATTCCACCTCAAAACCATATGGCAATAAGGGGAGTAGCCCCTTAGCCTTATAAAGTGGACACAAATTCCTTATTTCTTCAATGTGGGATACACTTCCCAACACTTTCTACACTCTTTAATGTGGGATAACACACCACTCACATGTGGGTTTTCTCATGGGCTCAACACTCCCCCTCACATATGAGTTGTCCATAATACTTGCCCCGATCACAACACAACCCAAACCTGGATCTGATACCAAATTTGTTGGCAAAATTAGATTAATAAAATATAATGTACTACCATCGTTACAGGTTATGTGCAACGATTTGACATAAAGCAGAGAGGGAAAATGTCTAATCGTTGCACATAACCTGTAACGGAGGTAGTAGTAGAAGAAAGCTGACTTTTTAATTTTCATTACCAAATTTAAGAAACATAACATCGGTGCCTTATATAGGGATGTCAGTGGGGCGGGTCAAGTAGAAGACCCGCCCTAGTTGGGTGGGGATAGGGGGTAGGGATAGGTCTTGGTTTGGCGGATGGTGGGGCAGGGATGGGGATAAAAATCATACCAGCCATAGGTGATGGGGTGGGGTGGATTTTACATTGTACCCGCCCCATCCCCACCCCGCCCTACCCGCCGCACTTCGTACCCGCCTCACCCCCACCTCACACTCACATCTATATATTTTTTAAAACAAAATTACATATTTTCATTCTATTTTATAAAAAAAAATATGTAAATTAAAATAGTAGATACATTAATTATAATACAGTAATATTATAACTAAGAGTGTGTAATACTTCTTCAAAAAAAAAGTGTGTTATATTAACGATAATTTTTTTCTTGTAATCTATATTAATTATGTTGAATTGTGTATTGGGAGGTGGCCGGGGATTAGACGGGTCTTAGCGGTGGGGGTAAAGTGGGGATGGATATCCAATTGGGGGTGGGGCGGGGATGATTTTGAAATTATACCCACCGGGGCGGGGATGGGGATGAATTTTGGACCCGCCGTGGGGATGGGGATAAAATTTTTTTTGTGGGAATGGAGATGGAAAGGCCAACATCCACCCCGCCTTATTGACATCCCAAGCCTTATACAGACCAATAGCCCAAAAATAAACAAAGCTAAAAATAAGGAAACTACTTACATAATAATAGGAATAGATTTCACCAACAAAAAGTGCTTAAAAAAATAAACCCACTAACTTCTAACTTATTGTAAGCTAAAGACTAGCAACTAATTCAGAATATTTTAGGAACTAAATAGCCCACAAACCAACTTTCATATTTTGAAGCAAGATTCATAATATTTAGAACAAAAGGTAAACTAGCGATGGGTGAGAGCGAAAATTCTCGAGAGAAAAGTTTATCTAGCGAGGAAGAAGACCTGATGCAGAGGTCGAATAAAAAGGTGAAAAGGACGCCAGAAAATTCTCCGGCGGCTTTGGAAAAGGAGCATCGTATGGAGGAGGATGCGATGATGGAAACATTTGTTGAGGAGACTATGGAGGATGGGATCACTCACAGCCACGTATTTCGTATCGCAATATGGCGAATGGTAGTGTGAAGGTGCAATCGAGCCAACGACTGATGAGCTTTGTAGAGAATTTGATTCAGATGATGATCAACCCCTGGAATGTGATTCTAATGATGAAGCGTGCCCTAACATTCTGCTTACAAAAGAGGAGAAACAGAGGTTAAGGAAACCGTGGCTTAATGCCCTAATTATCAAATTGTTTGATAAGAAATTAAGCTATGAAGTCTTAATCAAGAGGTTGAGATTGAAATGGAGCTTGAAGGGAGATATCTCCCTTAAGGATTTGGGGTATACATACTATGTGGTGCGATTTACTAATATGGAAGACTATCATTTTGTCTTGACCCAGGGTCCATGGATTATTGGAGATAGCTATCTCACCATTAGAAAGTGGATTTCGAATTTCGTTGCTGATGAAGCCCCAATTAAGTTTCTCACAGCATGGGTAAGAATCCCGAATTTGTCTATCGAGTACTTTGGCAAGGAATTTCTACACAAAATAGGTTCAAAAATAGGCAAAGTGGTGAATATTGACAGAAATACAGAGGCTAAAAAAATAGGTCAATATATCAGATTCAGTATTGAAGTAGATGTGACAAAGCCCCTTTTGTCAAAGTTCAGATTAAATGGACGAATTTGGCGCATTCAGTATGAAGGTCTAAGGCAAATATGCTTTAAGTGTGGCAAACTGGGACATAAAGATAATGATTGTGAACTGAAAGTGGTACAAGATAACAATGGAGAGAATGTCCTGGAAAAACAGGAGGAGATCGTCCAGGAAAGTTTCATTAAACCAAGACCATAAGAACAAGACCAATTTGGGTCGTGGATGCTGGTACAAAGAAACACTCGCAAATATGTCAATAAGCCAAAGGTCCAAGCTCAGATGAAGCCTAGTGAAGTGCAGAAAAACCTGCTGAGAAACAGATCAACAGTGAAGATGTTGCAGGTTGGAATAAAGGGAAACAAACCAAGAATCAGGTTTGGAAAATAGTGGATGCAAGAAAGAAAGGGTTGGGTCAAACTCAGGGTCAAGGTTCTCTATTTTGGAGCAGGAGAATGATCAGGAAATGATTGAGCTAGAGAATAATCAAGATCAATTTCTGGAAAATAAGAATGGTGGGATGAAATCAAGGTCAAACTCAGAGAATGATCAGGAAATGATTGAGCTAGAGAATAATCAAGATCAATTTCTGGAAAATAAGAATGGTGGGATGGAAAGTAGTCCAGTGGATCCTTCAGCTAATTTGAAAGAAGCAGCTAATTTAGGTGAAGAGAATAATTCTCTAGAGGATTTAGATGAAATTTTGGGAGATGCTCAATATGAGATGGAGGGGGATATGGAAGGAAAATCGTCTACTGATTTGGAAAAATCTTTAGGAAAGGCTAAAGGGAAAGATAGAATTAAAAAAGTGGTTCCTGGCTTGGAAAAAGATAATTATGTAAAGTCCGTGCCCCCCAATGAGATCCTTGACTTACATAGTTATCTGACAATTATGATTTTAGAGTGAAAAATCTTGAAGAATAGACTTGACACGAGAAACTCAAGCTAGAAGGAATTCAGAAATCCCTAGCTAATGGGGGACCCCCGACATATTTTAAAACTGGAGGAGAAACTCAGAGCTGAGATGAATAAGGTACTTGATGAAGAAGAAACTCTGTGGTTTCAGAAATCCAGAGCGGATGCAATATGTGATGGAGATCGCAACACACGGTATTTCCATTTATCTACAATCATTCAACGAAGAAAAAATAGAATTGAAACCCTCATGAATTCGAATGATGAAAGGGAAACTGAGCCAGATAAAGTTAAGGGGTTAGTTGTGGAATACTGGAAGAAGTTGTTCTTGGAAGAGGGACAATAGAATTTGACAGGGGAAGTGCTCTGGGACTATTTTCCTCGTCTTAGTGCGGATGAATGGGAGGTGTTAACAAGACCATTTGCAGTATGTGAAATCTACAAAGCTTTGCAAAGTATGGACCCTTATAAAAGCTCCCGGACCGGGCGGATTTCAGCCTCTATTCTACCAAAAAATTTGGAATAAAGTGAAACCAAATTTGCTCAAGCTGGTCTTTGATGTACTGGGAGGACGCTGCTTTCCTGAGGGTTTCAATGATGCACATCTTGTATTGATACCAAAAATGGACACCCCTCAAAGAGCTAATCACTTTATACCGATTGGACTTTGCAATATTACATATAAGATAGTCACTAAAGTGATAGTAAACAGACTCAAGACAGTTCTACCCCTCTTGATATCCCCTACTCAATGTTCCTCCGTTCCTGGAAGACAAATCACAGATAATGTTGTGATTGTGCAAGAAATGTTACATTCAATACGGAGGAAACAAGGAAGAGTTGGATACATGGCGGTGAAAATTGATTTTGAGAAAGCGTATGATAGATTGAGGTGGTCATTTATTAGAGACTCACTAATGGAACTACGATTACCTCAAAGCATGGTGGAAATTATCATGATGTGTATCACCTCGGCAAAGTTGAGCATTCTTTGGAATGGAGAACCGACAGAGCAATTTAATCCTTCTAGGGGAATTCGGCAAGGATACCCGTTATCTCCCTACATCTATGTGATTTGTTTGGAGAGACTCACACACTTGATTGAGAGAGAGCTGCAATTTGGGTGTTGGAAGCCGGCTAAAGCTAGTAGAGGGGGTCCTCCAATCACCAATCTCGCTTTTGCGGACGATCTAATCCTTTTTGTGAGGCTAGTGTGGACCAAGCTCGTATAATGAAAAATTATCTTGACTTGTTTTGCCAGGCCTCGAGAAGCAATGTTAGTGTGGAGAAATCGAGAATTTATTTTTCTCCAAACACTAATTATGATATAAGAGATTCGGTTTGTGAAAAATTGAGTATGGAGAGCGCAAAAGATTTTGGGAATTATTTAGGTGTGCCGACTATAAATGGAAGAGTTACCAAGGCTACTTATCAATATTTGGTTGATAAAGTGAATGCTAAATTGGGAGGATGGCAATCCAAGTCGTTGTCACTAGCTGGTCGTACTACCTTAGCACAAGCATGTATTTCTTCTATTCCTTTTTATACTATGCAGTCTGCTAAGGTACTAAGAGGGATCTGTGATATGATTGATAAAAAAACTCGAGCTTTTGTTTGGGGTAACACAGAAGAAAAAATAAAGATGCATCTAATTGCATGGGATACAGTGGCCAAACCAAAGAGAGAGGGTGGATTAGGCCTAAGATCGATGAGACAGTCGAATGCAGCGTTCCTATCAAAACTAGGATGGAGAGTCTTCACTGAGAAATATTCGTTATGGTCTAGAGTGCTTAGGAAACAAATACTGTGAAGGAAGATGCGATATTGGAATGTTCAAACATAAACAAGATGCATCGAATGCTTGGAAAGGTATTGTCGAGAACATAGATATCTTGAAGAAAGGCATTACAACGGTTGTTGGTAATGGGCGAGCTACTTCGTTTTGGCATCATAGTTGGGCTATCGATGGAGCCTTGATTGATAAGGTCATTACTCCACCCCCGGAAGGAATCCTCGAACACAAAGTGAATGATATGTGGGATGCAAATCGAGGGTGGAAGTTGAAATTTGCAGACTATTTACCGAAAGAAATTCTGGAGAAAATCCAAGCTCATGAGCTCATTGAAGAGGAAGATGTAATTGACAATATATACTGGAATGGTTCCCCCTCAGGAGGGTTTACTATGAAATCGGCAATGGATATCATCCGATATGTTGGTCCACAGGACTCAAGAGAGGAAGCGCCTTGGAGTTTGATCTGGAAAATCCAATGCCCACAATGAATCAGATTATTCTTTTGGTTAGCGTATAGAGAAAAACTGATCACGAACGCTACTCGATTCTTGCGGCATTTAACGGATGACCCTAGGTGCTTGATGTGTGGTTATGTAGAGGAGAATGTCGAGCATATATTGCGTTCTTGTCCTGTAGCATTGGTAGTATGGAAGCAGCTAGGAGTAAATGTCGATGATGCTGAATTCTAGATACCAAAAAAAGACTGGATCATGCGTAACTTGAAAGCTCCTGGAGCATATGCTAGTGAAGATTGGTCCTTGATTTTTGCAGTGACATGCTGGTGGTTATGGAGGTGGAGAAATGCTAGATGCTTCGACAGGGAAGTAGACATTCCAATTGATCAAGCCTGCTTTATTTTGGCTTGAGTAGGAGACATAAAAAAAAAGCATACGAGCGTGGCAATATTGTAAGCAGTGGAAAGAGGAAGCGCGAGGAAATCTATGTGTGCTGGATTGCTCCACCTGAAGGGTGGGTTATGCTGAATACGGACGGCGCATCAAAAGGCAACCCAGGCCTAGCGGGAGCCGGAGGTGTGGTGAGAAGTCCGTCAGGTGAGGTATTGGAAGCTTTTGCGATGAGATGTGGAATTTGCTCTTGTACTCGAGCTGAACTCCTAGCAGTGATGCGAGGATTAGCTATTGCGTGAAATGGAATACATCGAAGGGTACAAGTGAGAATTGATTCGGAGGTAGTAGTTCGTTTGTTTCCAATCAACAACAGGCAAATCTATAGGACATGCACGAACACATACTCCCACTAACTCCCCTTTTATTCATATTATCCGAAAGTGCAAGGCTTTAATCGAGCCGTTTTATTGGATTTTCGAGCCGTTTTATTGGAGGACTTAAGGGGAAGGACGATCCCAAGAAGGGTATCGAGGATTAATTAGTTTTGTAGTGCTTTGTTTTTGTTTTGTTTTTGCTTTCTGGTTAGTTTTTCTTTTTTTTGGGCCTTACCCCTCGTTTTCACCAAAAAAATATTTTGAAGCATATTACTCAATATATACATGATTGCATTTAATTACAAGGCTAATATTTTGGCTCTCATGAAGGCTATAATAATCACGGTAGTGCAAGTATTCTCTAGAGTTGACTAAGGCTATAATCATGGTAATATATAAATACAGAGATATATAAAGATATTACTACCTCCGATTTTTTATTTGTAACTTTGGGATATTATTTGTGAGATATAAGTTATTCCAAAGTTGCAACTAAAAAAATCGGAGATAGTATTATTGACTAATACTTTGACTAATACACCCCCGCAGTTGGTTTTTATTCGCATAGATTGTCCATGAAGTCTTCAAACAGAAGTTTAGATAGCCCTTCTGTGAAAATGTCATCAATTAGAAACCGAGATGGGACGTGAAGTACACGTACTTGTCCAACAGCTACCTTTTTTAATACGAAATTTATAACCATCTCAATATGTTTAGTGCGTTGGTGTTGAACATAATTACTTGAGAAATACACGACACTAACATTAATTATCACAATACACCAAATTGACACTTTTTAAGTGGTAGTTGTAGTTCGAGTAATATCTTACGTAACCAACATGTATCTACAACGACATTAGCAACCCATGATATTCTACTTCGGCACTTGAACGTAAGAGTGTGGGTTGTCTTTTTAAGGACCACGGTATCATATTTTGACCCTAAAATACACAATATCCTAAGGTTAATCGGCATGTATCTGTACAACATCCCCAATCAGTATCAGTGTATGATAATTTTACATTAAACCACCTTTTATAACTTTTTTTTTGCAAGAAATCACCTTATAAAATTTTTTTCGCAAAAACAGACCTTAATCCTAAAATTTTTTGCAAGCCCACACCTTTTCCCGGAAAATTCCCTTTGACCTTGTTTTCAGGTGTTGACCCGGCCACGTGCCCATCACGTGTCCCCCTTAAACCACTATTCCTCCCTTTTCCCTCCTTATTTCAGTCTAATTTCTCTCTCTGTCTAACTATTTCGCTCTCCT